AACTGTGTTACTCAAGTGTGTGTTACATTTAAAGTTCCTGTGGTGAAAATCAAGTTTTTACTGTTGTTTACATGTCTATCTGTTGATTTTATATTTGCTTAAAGACAAACCATGTGCAAATGAATCAGTCAACACCACTGCAGAGTATATTCTCCTTAAAAAGGCGGTGTACAAAAATCAGTCTCAAAAACGCAGTTTGAAATGGCCCCTCCAACATCACACATATTTAACCAATCCTGTCAACATGTGGGCCAGGTCTTTTCATATCTGGTCAAAGGTTTCTATTTACAACATGTTTTTGCAGGGTTGAGTAATATAGCCAATCAAAGACATAGCATTTCTTGAAAGCAATAGCCGGTCAGTCTACTGCAGTCTACTATAGCATTTACTTTTGCCAACTGAGTGAAAGAAGTGCAGGGCTGCGCTGGTGCCATTGAGTGGAGGCGCAGACTAATTTGCATATTCACAAATCTGCGTATACTCAATGAGCTAAGGGTGTAGAGATACATTTAAGTCATTTTAAGACATCAATAAATTATTTTTAAATATCAAAGATCAGAGATCAGTTTTAAGAGATAAAATGATTGACTACAGGAGGACTTTTAAATGTACTAAATAGCAACATAATCATTACAAATGTGCAATATACCGATATACAAAATAACTCTCAAGTTCAGCTAACTGCATTTAAAGGTGCAGTCTATAATAATGACAGTGTGATTGAAATATACTGCTGTCTAAATTCAAGATATTGTTTCTCCCGCCCCCTCCTTCTCAGACTGAATGTTCACACAGGTTGTTAGATTGATGGCATGCAACACAAACAAGCGCAACTGACATTGGAGGGCGACGAAACTTACACTGTAAACTGATGAGTTGATTTATCAGAGTTTTAGTATGCTTGTGGTCATAGAGCTTTTTAGGTGGATACTGAGGCTTTTTAGATCGGGTAGAATCTGCGACCCAGTTAGTTTGCTCACTTCCATGGCTGCAGTATGCTGTGTTTTCTGCAAACTTGCAACCCAGGCTGTCAAAATATTATTGGGTAAACTGCAAGTGGGCGGAATCCCATAGACCCAAAAAAAAAAAGAAGACTTTCTGACACGGAATGCACTTTTTCAAAGTAGAATAACTGGATGTAGCATTGTTTTTCTGAGAAACAAAAATGCAGTGGTGGAGGTAACGAATTACAACTAACGTTACTGTAATTAAGTAGTTTTTTCGGGTACTTGTACTTTGAGTATATTTTAAAAGCTGTACTTTTACTTGTACTGAAGTACAAATTAAGCAAAACAATCTACTTCGTTACTTTTAAATCATAGTTCGTTACTGAGTACGCCCACAATTTGAATTGATATTAAACCTTTGACGGCACTTCAGTAGCCAATAAAGATATCCGATCGTAAACGGAGCAATAGAAGCCCTGATATCTGAACCGGGAAAAGCCGCCACTGCAGCAGGTGAAGAGCTGATCAGACAGTGAGGGAGCTCAGTGTAATTTATGGACTCAGAGTTTGGAAGGACAAACTACAAGGTAGTGTTATCATAAATATATATATTTTGATACCGATACTGAAATATCTGACACGGTTCCATTACTCATTTTCCACAGTATCTACCAAATATACACCGATACAAGCTGCGTCTCTCTTTCCTCTCCGACAGTGAGTTTGACACGCGTCCGCCTCCTGTCAGTTACAGTCTGAATGTAAAAAGAAAGCGGGATTGCAGGTATTCCGCATCATTTTAATCATTCCCGCGCAAACGTGGCGAGAGCGCTTCATTGTAACATGAGAACACAGTCATGTAATCGCAGAAAACTGGATGCGAGCGGTCAAATTGGCCTAACTTATACAAATGAACAGCCTGCTCTCTCACTCCGATATTGCTTGAGCGCAGACTGTGTGCAATCGCGATCTCTCTGTGCTTTTAAAGTACAAATTATTTCTCTTTGCTCCTGGATTAAACTTAAAGTATCGCCAGCTAAAAAGTAACTAGTACTCCGAGTAGTTTTTGAGAGGGGTACTTTGTACTTTTACTTAAGTACTGTTTTGACACTAGTACTTTTACTTGTAATTGAGTATCATTTCAGCAATGTAACAGTACTTGTACTTAAGTACAAATTTTCAGTACTCTTTCCACCACTGCAAAAATGTGAACACGCATGTGAATATGTGTTATGGTGTTTTTGTGAAAAATTACATATAGCACCTTTAATAAAAATTGGTACAAATACTACAATATTTTCATTTACAATACATTTCATTGCAATTAACACGCAATTAAGTGTTTAAAATATTACATTTGGTTTGCATTTAGGTATTTTCTTTTAAAGTATATTATTTCTGTAACAACTACTGTTTTTAAATGTATGCTAAGTGTGTTTATTTTTCATTGGAGGCAGCCGTCCTCCATTTTTGACAACCTCTATTCTTCTTGATAGGGATGCACCGATACCGATACTGGTATTCCTGTACTCGTACTCGTTAAAATGCCCCGATACCAAACGCCGATATCACACAGCATGTGATAAGCGCCATATTCAAACAAAGAAACAATGACAACAGACAGCAGAAAGGAGTTATGGATGTCTACTATGAAGTATATGTATGCAATGAATATAAATGTTAAACATTCAGTATTAACGCCTGTATAGCTGGTGTGTGCGAGCTGATAAACAAAGCATGCTGAGTGGATTGAGCGCGCGGCAGCGCAGATGCGCAAGCTTGTCGAGTAAATATATCTTTCTCACAGACATCACTGGAAAGTTTGTAGTTCGGTCGGATATGCCAAAAACAAGTAAGTAAAAAGATGATGTACCACAGAGCAAAACAATGAACAGTGAAAGTAACAAAAACTTGTAAAATACATTTTAATGGGCATAATTAAGTGTGAAAATAACCGAAGGATATACAGTGAAACCAAAAATGATTCAGAGACCAGATATAATTTTTTATATTTTTTTACTAGTGGGTGCAGGACACTATAGTTCATTTATGTAAGTGAGGATAGCAAAATAAAGTAAACTGACAAATCATACCCCAAAATTCTACATACAGTGGACTACCAGTAAAATTGATACAAATTTGGGTCCAAAAATTATTCAGACCGAATCTGGGGGGAAAAAAACGGAAGTTGAGGTTTTCATGAAGCTGTATGACAGCATGCCCAGGAGACTACAGGCTGTCATTGAGGCTAAGGGTTGCCCGACAAAGTATTGATAGTTGTGTAAATACTGTTATACTAACAGCTGTCTGAATTATTTTGGATGATTGTAATCTATTACATACCTTTCTATCAAAATTATCTAGCATTATCAAGATGAATTTGTTCTGACACAGTTTAACTCTGAGTTCTTGTCATATTTTATTACCATTTTCTAAACTATAGCGAATAAACTGTGATAATGTGAGAAATGTTGAAGGTGTCTGAATAAATTTTGGTTTGACTGTATCTATTTGATAAATGAAGTTAACCAACTAACATTATACATACCCTTTTGGTTTCTGTACCCAATATTTAAAAAATGTACAAATGCAATAAAAATATCGGTACTCGGTATCGGCAAGTACCAAAAATAAAAGTATCGGTATCGAGCGAGTACTGGAAAAAGTGGTGTCGGTGCATCCCTACTTCTTGACACTTCTATAAGGATAATTTGCATTATCAATCTTCAATAATCCACCTGACAGCCATAATAAACAACCACACTATCTGAAGACTTGTAAACAGTTTTATCTGTAATTCAACAGAGCATCTTAATCTTTAAGTTGAAAGTTTTACCATTTTAGAACTCTCAGTGAACTTAAAATATACAACGCAAGAGCATAGCTTGGGGGGGGGGAAATGTAAGCTCATTTATAGGGAAGAAGTCATGCTGCATTCTATCACTTAAAAACATCACTGGACTGAGAAGTCACTTGGCACTTGAAATATTCCTGTGTAAATATATCTTTTATGCCTGCATTTTTCTTAAAATTCACTTAAGCAAATATTTTTGAAATACCACATATACAATGTCCCTGACAGATAACACTGAAACAGGTGTCCAAAGAAATCACATCTGTCTGTAATAGCCCTAGGCTCGGTAAACAGCTAAAAAGTGTCAAGAAATACTGTATTTTCTTGATTATAAGTTATATTTCTTTTTAATCATCTGGAACATGCTGTGACTTGTATAAGGCAATTAACGTCAAGCACGTAAAACATGGAACAAAAAATATTTTGCTAATCGACATTACAGCGCACTCATCATAACACTAAAATGCAGTCAATGAAACAGAAAAAGCTGCATAGCTCAGTTTAAACTGATTGTTGTACAGTATTGAAGAAAAACTGAAATGCAGTGGAAATGTGGAATCACTGAGTGTGATGATGGTGCTTTATTCTGATGAATTTGTGGTAAATCACTTGGTGTTTAATAACTATTGTTTATAATGAATACTAATATGTTTATTTTATACTTCTGTTATTTGTTCTTGTTCTGTTCTGAATAGTGTTCAATAGAAGGATTTTTTGTGGAGCGAGAGGAACTAAAATGCATGTTTGTATTGTTTATAATGTTCATTTACTGGTATCTTACATTATTTCTGGATATAACTATAAAATACGACTTATATGTTTTTTTCCCTAACAACACTGTGTGACATATATTCAGGTGCAACATTTTTTCTGGAAAATGGTACTTCCTGCCTGTCAGTGACGCAACAAAAAATGCTCCAATCTGATTGGCTGACTTTATGTAACTTCTGAGATTAAGATCAAGAATCAGATTTTTGATCAGTTTGAATGAAATTTGTGTTAAGGATAGCCCCACCTCTAAATCACACATGAAACATAAGGTGGTTTCCTTCTGTCTGAGAAGTGGACAGTTCTTGGGCAGAATAAATTACCACGAAAAGTAAAATGTGTGGACTTGTGAGACTAGTCCGAAGTTAGCAAAAGCTAGCTAGCTAAAGTTGCTAGGAACCTGAAGCATTTCCTTATTTCCCTAAGGTTACCTGAGAATCGCATGGAGCGTCCTCTTGTGAAGAGGGGTGGAGCCTGGAAGGTGTAGATGACATCACTCTCTGAGATACTCGTCATATCATCTTCATCAGAGAAAGAGCGCTGGAACCCATTTGAGTTAATCTCTGTCAAAATCACCTACAAGAGAAAGAGAAATGTTGATTTGAGAGTAAAACATCCTTGCACACCAATCTTGGGCCCTAGTAAACAAAGAAGATTTCAGGTTCTTCTCAAGCCATTTTCCAAAAGCTGTTGTCACATCACAAATCCACAGATAAGGGGATTTTAGCTCAAACACTCAGCATGACAAAATATTAGGCTCAGCGGTAGATCTATTTCTATTGTTTTCTGTTTCACTCACTCACTCCATTACAATAGTTCACATCACTTTTTTGTTCTCTACCACACACACACATACATGTACAAGTGTACACAGACACATGCGCTATATTACATATATTACAAATCATATACAAAAAAGAATCACCTCCCACCACAAGGGGGAGACACCATCTACATTAGTATATCAGTGCAAGATCCCCTGCTAATACAAGGCAAATTTTTACAAATTGCTAAGTAATACCTATTCTAAGCTCTGTGAAACAGGTTAAATAAAAATATGTTGCCTGAACCCATCATATAATATTCAGTATTGAAATCTATCTGTAGTAAAGGCTAAGAATGTAGTCGGTAATCCCTTTTCCCTTAAAGGGGTTATATGATGCGATTTAAATGTTTCCTTTCTCTTTGAAGTGTTACAAGCTCTTGGTGCATAAAGAAGATCTGTAAATTTGCAAAGACTAAAGTCTCAAATCTAAAGAGATATTCTTTATAAAAGTTAAGATTCAACCACGCCTACCTAAAACGGCTCGTTCTAACTCTCCCCCACATGTCTACATCACGATGTGGGAATATTTGCATTACGCCGCCCAAATGTTCACGCAAAGAAAGGCGGCGTAACTTTTATTCTCGCTTTAGTATTGTTGCAGCCGCCATGTCATGAAGGCACTGTGTGTTTCGTTGTGAAAGCGAAACTACTTTGTCTGGCCTTCCAAAAGGGGACGATATCCGCTTCGTCATGCCTAGAGCTGATCCGTGCTGGTCGCTGAGGAAATACATCAACTTCGCGCTGTGGATCACCCGATTGGCTTTCACAGTGGACGAAGCAGAGTCCAGCCCGGGGTCGTCACATGTGGATGCCGCAAGCATGCCGGCCGCCACTTACTCTAGGCCTCTGGCCTCCGCTTACTCTAGCCCACAGGCCTCCGCTCACTCACCACATAAACACATTTCATTACACCAAATACACAAAATAATGTTCTTTTTAGCAACATCATATGACCCCTTTAATCGCTGAGGAAGGTTGTGCCCTGTGCTGATGTTCCTGCCCACTCATATTGTTTGGGGCGGCTTTGAAACAGCCATAGCATCCTGTAAGCCTCTCCACAGTAGGCCTATTACTGACAGAGCTGAAGAGATCAACACATTACTGTGTAAAAGATTAGTAACAGAGGGCTAAATTAAATCTAAATAATTTTTTTCTTATACAATTATTAGTAGAGTAAAAAGTTTAAAAAAGGTAACACTTTAGTATAGGGACTAAATAATGTTCTTTTTAGCAACATCATATGACCCCTTTAATCGCTGAGGAAGGTTGTGCCCTGTGCTGATGTTCCTGCCCACTCATATTGTTTGGGGCGGCTTTGAAACAGCCATAGCATCCTGTAAGCCTCTCCACAGTAGGCCTATTACTGACAGAGCTGAAGAGATCAACACATTACTGTGTAAAAGATTAGTAACGGAGGGCTAAATGAAATCTAAATAATTTTTTTCTTATACAATTATTAGTAGAGTAAAAAGTTGAAAAAAGGTAACACTTTAGTATAGGGACTAATTCTCACTATTAACTAGTTGCTTATTAGCATGCCTATTATTAACATATTGGCTGTTTATTAGTGATTATAAAGCACACATTGTGCATGACCATATTCTACATCCCTAATCCTACCCAATACCTAAATTTTACAACTTCTTTACTAACTATTAATACACAGCAAATTAGGAGTTTGAGGCAAAAGTCATAGTTAATGGTTTGATAATGGTGATAATTGGACCTTAAAATAAAGTGTGACCAATAAAACCCCATGAATGTCAGAATTTCTTGGTAGTTGGTTAGCCCCTTTCATAGAGACACTGAAAGCTGGATAAGAGAGAACCTTTAAAAAAAGATGGTAACAGGGTTTTTACCTTGCAGTAATAGCATCTGGCCATCTATTCCTTACCAGATGCATAATATCCTCATCCATCCTCAGGTAACACATTTTATGTGTATAATTTGAATGCATTAAATTAGTCAAGCAGATAAATTAAAACACTTGAATACACTGATAAATTATTAAGTTTCTGTATAATTGTGGTTCTCTGTTTTGACATGGGTAGTTAAAATGGATTGATGGCTTCTCAAAAATCATGAAAAAGATTTTAGCAAACTAATCTACAAAATGTATAGTGCAATAAAAAAAGGGTCTATTTACTTTACCAAAAACACTGTCATCTCACAATAATAATAATAATAATAATTAATAATACAAAACAATGTTGAACTGGGAATAGAGATTTTGGTGTGAATGAGAGAAGAATGATCATGCTGTACAACATCAGCGGTTATTAATGTCAGACTGTAAAATATAAATTTTTGTCATGATTGACAGTATTGATAATTTAAGTCATGTTCTGGCATCCGCATTGACAAATGAAACTGAAATGGTTCCAAACAACCACAAAAAAACTCTTTCCCTAATAATAATGTTCCTCTTGGACAAGAAAATAAATAGTCTGGAGTGTCTGAAGTCTGTCATCACTTGACAGAAGAGGGAATGTGTGGACTGCTCATTCTCTAGAGCAGTGTTTCCCAACCTTTTTTTAGTCGCGGCACCCTTTGGAAATTTTAACAAACTTGTGGCACCCTACAAAATTAATTTTGTCACAATATTTGAATTTCTAACATCGATATGATCATTTGAAAAGTAGATATTCGGTACAACAGGGAAGAACTGCAGAATATAATGTCATACAGATATTTTTTATATTATT